GGGAAGGATGCGCAAAAGAAAGAGTTCCCAGGACTATGCGAACTGATGCAAGCCAGAGATTCGCCGGCCTCATCTTCGTCCTTGTTGACATATTGAGATCACCACTGGAAGTTCCATCAAACAAATGTCGACTTCACCAAAACTTCAAACTTATTGAGGAGAAAAGTTCGGTGAGCCTGCCATCTACACCGAGACTCTCGATAAACAACTTTCAAAAACAATGCACGACATACCTGCATCGCAGCAACACCCCATCACGTGGAGGGCACAGAGGGCATAAATGCTACGGCCGAGGCCGCGAAAACCGCCAGAAGCGGAGCCAAAATGCCCTCGAGATATCGCAAATATGCACGACATACTTGCATTGCAGCGTCTCGCCATCACGTGTATGTGGTCGCAGAATGGGCCTCGCCTCTGTGCCAATGTTTGCCGTTTCGGGTAGTCAAGGTGAAGGGGCTGAGACGAATCATTCGTGAGGGCTTCACCGAGAGTTGATGTTGCGACCTTGGATCCTGGGATGCTGTATCCAAGACAGACAGGCACTATTTCTGGGGCCAAACTGACGCCTCTGGATCCTACATATAAGATGAAGCTTCGTGTTCTCTGTGTATTGGGTGCCGAGGATATGTTTCCGTTGATTCACGTTGTGACTTCTGCTTCGTTGGCAGCGTGAATTTGGTGCCAAATAAAGGAGCTCTCGCGAGGACCGTAAACCCTGGAACTGGAATACCAACTTCCACTCTCCGCTGTTGGGGATGTATACCAGACGCCTCCACGCACCCGATGTTCGGTGTAGATGAGCTGATATATCGAGTGACAAGATGTTCCACCGGGCCCCCGGTCTTCCATGTTATCACACCTCACATCACAGACCTACTGGGCTTCAGTAATATGTTCTGTAGAGAATAGCCCATGGAAGCAGGAGAGAAAGAGCAGGGGAGAGATAATTAGTGATGGTGGTTTAGATCGAAACCTATCCTCGAAACGGTAGATTATGTCGTGGCCCGCATACATTTGATCCAGATAGCTGGCCAGAGCAGCAACAAATTCCTTTACGCAAATGAGTACAAACAAGCTGATCAGTCGAGAACGTATAGCGCCAAGAGTGCCAACAAACATCAGTTCCCGCACATCAAGGAGTAATTGCAGGGCGCAACCGTGACGAGCTGGGCTCCCGAATTCATCTTCCACACTGGCCACGACTACCATACGAACCCGTGATTTACTAGATAGAGCTCCGTGTGCTGAGACCATTGAAAGTCGACAACACATACGAGAGTGATGGCTCCTACAGACCAGCCAACCGGGAAAGGGGTTGCGGAACTGTCACAGGCAGATTCGATTCGATTGTGAGATTGCATTGCAAAGATTATATCCTGGAGCAGCGAGGACATGTGTAATCGATTTCATCACTTTTGACGGCAGCCAGCCAAGGGTTCCCTCCCATCATCTGTACATCACATTCGGCCTCACCCTCATCTCCTCCGGCACCTCCTCCAACCCTTCCATCGGCCTAAGCAGCACATCCGACCCGCTCGCAACAATACAATACCTCTCCCGCAGTGCACTCGTATCCTCCAGGATACTCGACGGCATCTTCTCGTCCCCGGGCGGCGGACTCCGCATCGCTAGCGCCAAGAGCTCCGGCGTCGACTCCCAGCTCTTGCTTGTGACGCCCACGACAAGACTCCACGCCATAAACGCCACCGCGACAGCACAGTACACAAACAGACCCACCATGGAATACTTGACGGTGTCGTCCCCGGCAGAGTACGCGAACCCCTTCATCTCCCCCCGGAAATGCAGCCTCTGCGCCGCGGCCCTCACGCCGTCGGGTACATCAAACGCCGTGCCGGACTCGGGGAACCCGAATTGCGTCTCGCGCGGGAAGAAGTTACGCCACCAGGCGCCGTCGGCGTCCTTCAAGGTGATGATGGGTTTCGCGGCGGGCGCGGTGCGGGACATGCCGTTGGCGAGCATGGCGTTGACGAGCGTCTCGACGTGGCCGACGGTCCAGGGCAGGCCCAGCGGAGAATCGACGAGCCGTGCGGAGGCGGCGAGGCGCTGGAAGACGGTGGTGCCCTCAGTGTCGACGGCCGCGTTGGTCAGATTCGCAAAGGAGGTCTCGATGAGGACTTTGCGGCTGCCGGGTTTCCACGTCACGGGGAATGGCCAACCGTCTGTCCACACGTGGTTGTCTATGTTGATCCAGGTATTGGCCCCGATCCATTCTGCATTTGTCAGGCATCCGTACATGGCGATTCCCCCTTGGCGTGGGAGAGAGATGATGGCGCCAATGGAGACGTTGGCGGCTAGGTCCCCTTCTGGGTCAATGTTGAAGAAGGACATCTGGGGGCTCGTGTCATTGAGGTTTGTCCAGAAAGCTTGCGTTGTCGGGTTCTTTAGAGCCATGACATCAGTGTTGTTGATGAAAGAGGCCTCGTTCCGTACTTCTGGGAAGTTGACAGGACCACGACGATCACTGGACGTGGTGTTTTTGCCATCGACCATCGTAACTCGGCATCGGGTCTCCATAGATGCGAGCTCCTGGAACGTCGAGTATCGATAGTCCGACCCGCGGTAATACTTCTTCTCCTTTTGATCCATCAAAGTAAGAGCATCCTGCCAAAGCATCGTCGTCGCTGCCAAGGTGGCACCCGTCACACGATGCGGCAGCGTCATGCGAGACTCGGCCCACCCGCGCGGCACCCCGGGCTCGCGAACGGACATTGACAACTGCAAAATCGACTCCGGCGTGGCAAGCGGGAAGAGCGCCGGAATGCGGATATATGACCCCTTTGTGACGTTGAGGACGGCCTGGTCCGGGAGGTAGCTCACGAGATGCGTCAGCGAGTCCCAACCCGCCGACGGGCAGTCGAGGTTGCCAGCCCTCTCGCACACGTCGCCGGCCACCGTATCCGCGGCCGTCAGCGTCCGCGGAAAGATGTCGGCGCCAGCTTTATCAATGTACACCCACGACCCGCCCATCATCCACCAATCATTGAGAGGCGTCAGGACGGTGGCCGTCGCTGGCGCCACAACGACGGCCAGGACGCAGCACATGACGAGGAAGGAGACGAAGAAGACCTTTTTCCAGACAGTCGAGAAGCGGCCCCGCAGCATAGCCGTCATCTCGTCGGACCACAGGAACTCGGGCGAGCTGAAGCTGTTTCCCGCAAAGAATGCCGCCAGCGGTGTCCCCTGTCCGAGCGTCACCTCGCGGCGGACAAAGGTGAAGATCATGGTGGTGAGGGAGCCGATGATCATGATCTCGAGGAACTTTGCAGCGAACTGGATCAGCAGGTTGGCCGACTTGTCCCACTCGCGGTTCGGCGTGAGGTCCGCGCCGATCCAGTACTCGTGGTAGATGAGGTGGCTCATAATGGCGGTGGCGATCAGGGGCGGGACGTGGACCATGATGGCGAGGAGGGCCATGGGCCGGTTCTTGAAGATGACAACCTTTGTCTGGTTGCGGATCGAGTCGCGGACGTTGTAGAAGAGACGGTAGAGGGAGTGGAAGCTCCATGCCTTGAGCGTGTTTTGGAGGACAGCTCTGAAGCTGAACTTGCCTCCGTACACTTCGTAGGGAGTCGTTTGGTCGTTGAGTCTGGCCTAGGTTAGCACTTATAGCCTCACTTGTGGTATTTGTGCCCTAGCTTGAGGTCTAGTTCTGGTTTCTGGGCAATTGGAATCATAATCACCTCTCTGTATCTTTGAAATCATGCGAGCCATCTTGGTCAAGGGAATTACCTCGACGTCCTGGCGGACCGCCATCTTGTGGATGCAGAAGAGGGACGAGAGGCTCTCCCCTTTCAGCAGTCAGCCGAACTTCAGGCATTGTGGGACTTTTCCTTTTCATCAAGCATCAGTCGACAATGACATCTCACCCAAAGCACGTAGTAAATTCGGAAATTTGAATTCATTTATCAGTTGTTCTTCTACACCGCAGCATTCTCAGCTCACCACGAAAAGGGAACTTTGACTGCGGCCAACAGGGGCATGATGCAACGTTCAGTAGACAGGGTGCTGGCCAGGCACCAAGATAAAGTCCTCCAAGCCCGGCTCCGGTGAAGCGCTTAAGCCGTGACAGCAACTACCTCATTGGATATTGAATTCGAGATCCGCTTTCGGGAACTGGTCTGAAGCTGTCATGTTGCGATGCCGCTCATGCGTGTCAGACTGTAGAATCCTTCCGTTTAACACCCAACCTCCTTTAGGCCCTTTGGGAGCATGGCGGGCAAGGCTGAGGAGCCAGATCCCTGTGTGAGTATCCAGTTCGTAGGATGTTGATAGTCCAGGTTGATCGCATACGTGCGTAATTCCGACTTCTCTGGATATCTCATTCCGAGAACATCAAGTCATCAACCAACGTCGTTGAATCAAGTTCAAATGAAGGTGTGAGCCAGACATCCAGCGCCTAAGGAATAAGCTTGTTGTACCGCAGGCGCAGGGACCCGCAAGATATAGCTGAGGTAATCAGCACCTATCAAACCCCCACGCCCTGAGAGTGGTGCCTGCGGCCCTGCTCGACCAACCCCAGGTGCCCAGATCTGTAGATGCTCGGCGCGTGGTCATCGACTTCTCCACTTCATCTGAGTGGACGACAGCGATCCGGTGAACGCGGCGCATGATTGCTTGTCTCTATTCTACTCGTCCCCCAACGTCAACAACGTTTCGTTGAGTCGCCCTGTTTACACGTGCGATCTCGTGATACCAACACGTTTTGAGAGCTCCAAGGAGTTGTGCGGCTTGGTCATTGTTCGACTCGGCCGGCGCATTCGGGAACCCGCTTGAACGGGAGGACGGATACCGACGGGAAATCTAAACGACGAACCTACACACCCTTAGCTTCGGTCGCTTTCTCTACGCAGGCTCTTATCACGGACAAGGAATCCGCAATCGACTTTCCGGACCTCGACGGAACTGACTCTCGAGCTGGAGCAGATCGCCATCTTTCACCACCAACCTACCCCCTCCGACAGCAAGACAGAAAACACAAGATGGAGCGCATCAGGGAACTGCTGGGCAAGCACCACAAGCCGGATCGGCAAGAGTACGAGCCTCTCGCCGAGGAAGGCCGGGAACTCGACGGCTCCACGCTGGAAGAAGACCCGGAGGAGGTGCCGTTCTCGTGGACCGAGTACATCATGTTCGCCTGGCTAGGCATGGCGATGCTATGGGCCTGGTACGTGGAACCTCACTCATCACTCAATCCTTACTCCCGAGATACGCAGCAATGATGGCTAACACATAACTCTCTCTACCCAGGAATATGTTCCTCGCAGCAGCCCCCTACTTCCAAGTCCGCTTCCAATCCGACGTCTGGATCTCTCAAAACTTCCAATCCGCCATCCTCACCGTCTCGACCCTCACCAACCTCACCGCCATGCTCATCCTCACAAACATCCAATACGCGGCCTCCTACCCCTTCCGCATCAACCTCGCCCTCCTCCTCAACTGCGTAATCTTCTCCTTCCTCACGGCCTCCACCTCCTTCGCCCTCGACGTCTCCCCGGGCGCCTACCTCGCCTTCATCCTCCTCATGGTCGCCTCTAGCTCCTGGGCCACAGGGCTCATCCAAAACGGCGCTTTCGCCTTCGCCGCCTCCTTTGGCCGGCCCGAGTACATGCAGGCCTTGATGGCGGGCCAGGGCGTAGCCGGCGTCCTCCCGCCCATCGCGCAGGTCATCACCGTCCTCGTCGTCCCCGAAAAAGACAGCACCACCACCACAACCGCCCAAGACGACATCAAATCCTCGTCCTCCTCGGCCTTTGTCTATTTCCTCGCCGCCGTCGCCGTCTCCGTCTCGGCCCTGCTGGCCTTCATCCCCCTCGTCCGCCGCCACAACCGCATCATCGAAGCCCGCATGGTCAACACCCTTGCAGAATCCCTCACCTCAGTTGAAGAAGCCGAGCGCGCCGCCCGCAAGATCGTCTCCCCGCTCACCTTACTCCGCAAGCTCCACTGGCTCGCCGGCGCCATTTTCATGTGCTTTTCGGTTGCCATGTTCTTCCCCGTCTTCACGGGCAAGATCCTATCCGTCCGCTACCCAGGCGACGAAAAGTCCCCCGCCGGCATCCTCTTCCGACCCGCCGCTTTTATTCCATTGGCCTTCTTCGCCTGGAACCTCGGTGACCTGTCCGGCCGCATGGCCACCATCCTCCCCTTTTCCTTACGCCACCGGCCCGCCGCCCTGTTCGGCGTCAGCCTCGCCCGCATCGGCTTCCTACCGCTCTACCTCCTCTGCAATATCGGCGGCCGCGGCGCCGTCGTCAGCAGCGACTTTTTCTACCTGGTGGTCGTGCAGTTCTTCTTCGGGCTGACCAACGGGTGGCTCGGCTCGAGCTGCATGATGGCCGCGGGCGAGTGGGTCGAGGACGGCGAGCGCGAGGCCACGGGCGGGTTCATGGGCTTGTGCCTCGTTGCTGGGTTGACGACAGGTAGTCTTTTGAGCTTTACGGCTGGCGGTATTTAGGAACATCTTGGTATAATTTTGCATGTTTACGGCGTAAAGGGAGATCTGCATTATGTTATATCTCAATTTGGCATGCGTTTAACTGGTCTCATTGGTCTTGGATGGCGTTTGAGGATATGGGTCATGAGGACAGGAGCATGAGAATGGTCATAAAGACGGTCAATAATAGTTGACCCTAGAGACACGTAATATTCAATCCATCATTGATTCAAGTGGAAGACAACGCATGTTAAGATCATATGGACAAGCGTCGGATGCGGTGTTGCAAAATTACATTACGCTTTGCTTCGCTACAAATACACGACTACTGTACAACCGCTTCGACTTCGACGTCCTTCAGCCCTGGAGTGCGCAGTTCACCATCTTTCCGCGCCCGGTATACCAGCCCTCGTCAATCAACGCGCGCTCTTTCTCCTGCCACTCTTGAAACTTCCAAGACACGTTCTTTTTGTCGAGATCGGCAAGTTTGGCTTCAAACGAGTCCGCAACCACAATTTCCTGCGAGCCCTTCTTCTCGAGGCGGTATCGCATGTAGAGGGAGCAGTCTCGCAACGTCATGGCTATACTAAACTCCTCATCGTTTTTGCTCGCGTTCAGGGGGCCGCGGGGATCCTTTTGTGTTTGGTGTCTCTTCAACAAGGTGAGGATAGACGTCTTCTTCAGCAGGTCGTACAGGGTAGAGGCGTGCTTGTTGTCTCCGGCGCTGCTGTACTGGAACAAGCTGGAGAGAGCCTTTTGACGCACATCTTTCTTGCCTTTGGACGTCTCTCTCTCGGGATCCAACCAGAGGGGGCACGGATAGTACCGCGGGTTGCTGCCGGCATCCTTGCTATCTTTGAACTTCTTGGCGGCGAGTGCGCAGCAGCGACATGTGTTGGCGTTCTTCGGCGCGGATGGCGACTGGGCGAGCCATTTTGGCTTAAATTCGACTACGCGCTCGTCGGCGCTCCGCGCGCGCATGCTTTCGATCAGGCAAGCCCTATCTGTTTCCATGATCTTTGTGTTTTCAAACTTGACGGGTCGCTTTTTGGCTTCTGCCGGAGCTTTGTTCAACGCATCCAGGACATTCTGCATGTGCTTCATGGCGTCTTGTGGGAGAAATGCATACTTCATGTCCGCTAGCATATCCGCACGGTAGGTGAAGAGAGGAGCAATGGTGTCCCAGAAATAAGACCACTGCTCTTCTGGCGGATAGAATGGCTTGTCGCCACCTTTGGGCTGCTTTGGTACTCTCAAGAGGTATTCTAAAAAATGACATCAGTAGCCATTTGGGATGGGGCATGTCAGAGACATCTGAAACCCACTTGTCAAAAGGTCGTCTTCGGTTCTGTCTTTGTTATCCTGCCGCGCAAACTTGGTATACAAAAACGGGATGAAGAGAACGTTGGCGGCACCTTCGCCGACATAAATGGCGTGTGTCCAGGGGCTAACATGAACATTTTCGTCCGATACCAGCACTCCCATATTGAAGACCTTGCCCGATGCTGGGCTATGTTCCCTGGGGACATCTTTGGACGATATTTCTGCAACCGCCTTCACATTGAGCTTGGTATTGATCGATGTGGGAGGGATCAATAGTTTGGCCATGATGAGGAAAGCGGAATGAAGCGAGACTTGTGTGTTGGAGATTGAAGATCTGGTATTGGCAACGAAAGTAGACTCTTTGATACTGACGAGGGGCTGAAGATTGGCGAGCTGCTAGCCCTGCTATCGAGGTAGCGGGTGGCTGGATCGAGGCGGATAATAGGTAAGGCGTCCAGATGGCTTCACAAGGCGACCGTATTAGGCGATGATGTTTGTGTGAAAAGAGAAGAGACTCTCATGGCGAGTTGCAAAGAGGTAAGGAAGACGGTACGGTACTCTGGAAGGAATGTGTCTTTTTCCCAGCTGAACTAAGGTAAGATCCAATGGCTTACCTGCCGCAACTGGTGGCAACCGCAAGTGGTCTAGCAAAGCGCAGTTTCCCAAGATTGGTGGTGGTGGTGACTTGGAGGTGTCTCACGCCAACAACCCTCCCGTCTCTCTCTCTCTCTCTCTCTCTCTCTCTCTCTCTCTCTCTCTCTCTCTCTCTCTCGCGCGCGCGCGCGCGCTCCCGCCTCTCCGCTCTTGCCTGATCCGGCTCGGTGCCTTTGCAGTAACAACACACCTCACGGGTGAATAAACGCTGGAGAGCACGTGAGACTGGTCGGAAGGGGTTTCCAAAGAGAGGACGGAACCGGAGCGTTGTGAGTAAGGTAAGGTAGGTAGTCTACGTCGTCAGCCGACTCGTGGTTGTCTGATCTAAGGTAGCGTTGCCAAAGTCGAGGATCGAATGAGCGCGCAACCGTTGCCTGCCCACGTTCCTATGGTTCCCCTTGGTTAGAAGATGGATATCCGATGAGGGAGCGATTGCGACGAGGCTCCATTTGGTTGCTTGTTGCTCTGTGCTACAACGGCCCTCCCTTTTGTGTGATTTTTTGCACCTTTGTTGTGTCCTCTGGAAGCCAGCGGTATCCCGGGATGACGACAGACTTTCCGCTTCGGGTGTGGAGCAGAAAAGTTGGCTGATTTGGCGCTGGCTGCTGGGTGAGCTTGTGAGTTCCTACTTTTCGTTGACACTATTGGCAACAAAGTAACGGTAGCAGACAGACACGACAGGCAACTTCCCTGGGGCGGGAGAGGCTGACGGGGTGGCCAATATGACTCCTCCCACAAGTTACAGCAAGTCGCGGCTCATCTGTCATATCTGATTCTGGACCTTTTGGCGAGAGCGTTGGACAGGAAGCTACCGCAGGCACCGCAGGGTGTGTTTCTGTGTTACATAAGTTTTTACCCCGGAATCTTGTGAGAGGTTGATTTTCTTCTTCAATGTGCGGTTGCAGAGATGGAACCCAGAATTCCAGAGGACCCAGATGTCTTAGCAGGAACTCCTCATCCAATGCTTGCGATGACTGGTACGGCGCGCGCGTCAAACCCACATGCTTGACGTAAGTGCGGCTATTGAGCTAAAGCCCGTCCCCCGCCCCCCCCCCCCCCTCCGCTACACGCAGACGAGGGAAA